TTGGAGAGTTGTTGTTTATTATCGACTCAGGCAGAGTAACGTTATTAAAAGTGTATATGAGCTGGGCGTGGTGGCTCACACCTGTAATCCCAGCACTTTGGGAGGCCGAGGCAGGTGGATCACGAGGTCAAGAGATCGAGACCATCCTGGTCAACATGGTGAAACCCCGTCTCTACTAAAAATACAAAAAATGAGCTGGGCACGGTGGTGCGTGCCTGTAATCCCAGCTACTCAGGAGGCTGAGGCAGGAGAATTGCCTGAACCCAAGAGGCAGAGGTTGCGGTGAGCCGAGATCGCACCATTGCACTCCAGCTTGGGTAACAAGAGTGAAACTCCGCCTCCAAAAAAAAAAAAAAAAAAAAAGTGTATATGGTACAGTATATTCTTTATGTGTGAACAGTCAAGGCATACTTTTTTCTTCTGCATCTAAACAGAAAAATTCTAGCTTATAGTTGTATTTCTATACAAAGTTATTAAAAACAGGAGAAATGTAATTTGCAAATACCTTGAAGTGAAATATGGGTTTCTAAATGCTAAAGGTATGATCAAATACATTCTTCCATGTAAGAAGTTCTACAGGGCCAGGTGCGGTGGTTCACACCTATAATCCCAGCACTTTGGGAGGCTGAGGTGTGTGGATCATTTGGGGTCAGGAGTTTGAGACCAGCCTGGCCAACATGGTAAAACTCTCTCTCTACTAAAAATACAAAAATTAGCTGGGCATGGTGGCATGCGCCTATAGTCCCAGCTACTGGAGAGGCTGAGGCAGGAGAATCACTTGAACCCAGGAGGCAGAGGCTGCAGTGAACCGAGATCATACCATTGCACTCCAGCTTGGGCGACAAAGCAAGATTCCATCTCAAAAAAAAAAAAAAGAAGTTCTACCAAATTTTAAAAAATATACTAAAAACATGCAGAAAACCAGGATTATGCATATAAATGGTTAATACTTTGAAAAAGTATTGATCCAGAATCCTACAACCTCAGCATCTTTACAAAGGGATGCCTAATCGATATTCTCAAACGGAAGCAATTCTACATAAGACAACTCTCAGTAGCTTCAGTGACAGACCTCACGATGACTCGTGATCAAGAAAAAAAGTGATGAAACTCCTGCAAGAGCAACAGTTATTTTCCTGGAACACTGCTGTCAACACTGGGAATGTGTACTGGCCTGAAGCTTCAATATTATAGAGGACTCCACTGGAATGTGATGTCACCATTATTTTATTCTGTGAGGACAATGTGCTAGCTTGAGCCAGCGTCATTTATGTGGCAACTTTAACCATCTCAGCAGTGAACCAGAAGACAAAGAAAGCCTCTAAATAACAAGAATGGGTAAGAGCCCTAGAGGACAGCAGTTAGAAGGAAACTTCCCAGTCCTCCATTACACCCTACCCAGGTCTAACAAATGCAGGCATCTCATTTTCCAGACTGCAGCAGGTGAAAATAAGGTGGGGCTAGGCAAAGGGAAGGAACTGGAGTTGCTGGCTTAGCAGAGAAAGCTATACAAGTAAAAGCAAGAGGGAGTGGAATTATGTTCTTTCCTTCTACAGATGGGAAACCAAGATCCAGAGAGCTGAAGTGAGTCTTCTCACGGTCACAGGCTAGTTTGTAGCAGCCTAAACTTAACTCAGGATTCCGAGCCTCATCCAGTATTCCAGTATTCTCTTCACCTCATTGCTTTGCCTCCTTCGCTAAATAGCCTACGTCAAATCAATTCTTTGAGATTTTAGAGAGATTTTTACTGATATATGCAGAAGAAAGTAAAAAATATATATATATATAAATTTTCCAGACTGGGCGTCGTGGCTCATGCCTGTAATCCCAGCACTTTGGGTGGTCACAGGGGGAGGAATGAGCTCAGTTAGCCATAGGAGAGAAAATAGATAGGGTGGTTAACACTTGGTTTGAGACCAGCCTGGGCAGCATAGCCAGACCTTGTCTCTGCTAAGATTTTTAAGACTAGCTAAGCACAGTGGCATGCACCTGTAGTCCCAGCTACTTGGAAGGCTGAGGCAGGAAGATCCCTTGAGCACAGGAAGTAGAGGCTGCAGTGAGCTATGATCATGCCACTGCATTCCAGCCTGGGGGACAGAGGGAGACCTTGTTGCTTAAAAAAAAAAAAAAAAAAAATTAGTTTCCCGGTTAAGGCACCAAAAAAAAATTAAATTAAAACAAAAGAAAAATAAAAAATTTTCCAGATAAATTTTATTATGTTCTTGTAAATCTACTGAAGATCTAAGATTCAATTACAGCATAATAGTCCTGCTAAGATATCTGACTATGATGTAATAAAAACCACACAGCTACAAATTGACGTTGGCTCCTGCAGTCTCCTACAGAGTAGGTATCTAACTTAGTATTATGTAAACGGCTAGTTAAAAGTCACGAAGCTTTTCACTGACTATAAACAATGCTTCCTCTGATACAATTAAAATGCTACCTCAACCCTTCTTCATTTCTCTGTATACTTGGGTTTATATCTGTTTCCAACAGAGCCGACAGGAGACTGGCTGGAAAAGTAGCCAATAGGAGAGAGAATAGATAGGGTGGTTAACGCTTGGCCCTAAGGGCATCCTTAAACACATCATTAAGCTCTACAGGGACCTTGCCCATGATGCTGCTTGGTTCTTCTTTAGTTAACTTCTTTAGTTCTTGGCAAGTGCGTCAAAGACTGGCCGCCAGTACTCAATAAATTTCTGTTGATGTCCAGCCTGGGCAACATAATGAGACCACAACTCTTTTTTAAAAATTCCATTGGGGGCCAGGCCCAATGGCTAACGCTTGTAATCCTAGCACTTTGGGAGGCCGAGGTGGGCGAACCACCTGAGGTCAGGAGTTTGAGATCAGCCTGATCAACATGGTGAAACATAATACAAAATTTCCACTAAAAATATAAAATTAGCCAGGCATAGTGGTACATGTCTGTAATTCCAGCTACTCAGGAGGCTGGGGCAGGAGAATCGCTTGAACCTGGGAGGCGGAGGTTGCGGTGGGCTGAGATCGCATCATTGCACTCCAACCTGGGCAACAGGAGCAAAACTCCAAAAAGAAAAAAAAAATCCTCTGGGGAAGAGTGGAGATTTAACAAATTCAGGAAGTAAGGCAGGTTCCTGGAGCTTGCCCGCTCTTTATTTATATGCAGACTGAAGCTAATGGAAGATGTTATAGCCTCCTTCTTTTAAAAAGGACAAGTCTAAATACAAAGGAACAACTGTGCCTCTCCTGGGAACCCAGCTGGAGACTATTCTAGGCCCTGGCAGCACCTCCTTTGACTCTCAGGGCAAGTTGGGGGAGTAGTGAAGGCCTGCCCATGACAAAAGGGCTGCTATTAATTCACACTGCCTTGGGGTTAAATGGATCAGTTAAGTCTACCTTACAAAGTAAGAATAAAAAAGGATTTCATACTTGGTTAAATACCCTATTAGAGAAACATAAAGAGAAGGTCAAAATGTACAAATCTCCAGCATCAGACATGCCAGCACCCAGCCAGCCTCTCAGACAGCAGCCCCCACACTCTTCCTTTGCCCTCTGCAGTGCTTATGTATGCCAGCAAGCAGGGGCTTCAGTTCACAAAGCTCCTGTGAGGCTCCTAGCTGTTCTGGGTTCCGGAAGGCTTTTCCCCCACAGCCTACCAGCACTACACTATCTTTGGGGCTGATCTAGTCCAGTCTTGCAGAAGTGATTAGACCCTCAGCACCCTAGAACCACCTGGATGGGTTTTTTTGTTTGTTTTTCATATGGAGGCGATGCCTTTTTTGACCAGCTGATTTTGGGATCCAAACTTCTCCAAAGGACCAAACAAGTCTGAAGAGCAGAGCAGACCAGAGAAGGTGCTGGCACCCAACCTTCTGATTTAGGACCTGGCCTGTCACCATATCTATAGCCCTTGTTTTGCCCCTGCCTAGCCTGCATTTTAAAATCAAAGATAAAAGGGAAGTAAAGTTAACAGATAAACTAAGCTAAAAGGTGACTCTGGAAAATGACAGACATAAAACAGTTTTGGGGTTGTCTTGAGTTCAAAATCAGGTAAATTCAAAATCAGACCAATCAAAACGATCAAAGAGGGCCAGGCAAATAATCTCTCAAAGTTAAGAAATAATGGCTGGCATGGTGGTGGCTCACACCTGTAATCCCAGCACTTTGGGAGGCTGATGTGAGAGGATCGCTTGAGCTCAGGAGTACAAGACTAGCCTGGCCAACAAAGTGAGACCCCATCTCTTTAAAAAAAAGAAGAAGAAGAAGAAATAACAACAATGCATAAAACATGCCCAGAGTGCAGGGTCTTGGGTTCATGCTGCAGGCTGCTGCTCAAGGAAAGGGGGAGAAGGTGGTCTGTGTCTCCATCAGGGCTTCTCACCTGAAGAAGGTGGATGGTGTTCATTCCCTGACCCTGATGGAGCAGGCTGTAAACAGGGAGACCTCTGATCCCACCCCAGCATCTTCCCTCCAGCATTCGAAGTGTCAGCCACAGAGTGGGCTCTGACACATGCTTGGTGAATTACATAATGTTTCTAAACGATCTGGCTCCAGGGAGGAATGTGCACCCCCGGGGGCTTACAGGATGAACACAGGGTATGGGGTAAACATTAGGAGTTCTGTTTCCACTTAGTTTTCTATTTTTTGTGTGTGTATTTAATACAACAATACCGTGTTATATGTATGTAATTTTAAAAAGAACATGCCCAAATTGGGGCTATAAAGCTCTTCTTACTACTAGGCTACATAATCAAAAAGTTTAACTGCAAAATGTTGATAATTATTAACAATTGGTGAGGTCTACATGGGAGCTTCTTATTCTACTCTTTCTACTTTTCTCCACCACTACAAATTTCCATGATAAAATGCAGAATTTTAACTTCAAGTCCTCAGGGATGGCATGGCAGGGTGAATGCAGACCCAAACTTCTGAAGGCATTTTCTGTCCCAGGGAGCACTGCCCAAGCCTGCACAGAAGCAGAAGTTTTAAACTGCCTGTTCCCATCCCCGCCTCCCTACCTGGTGTGGTATCTTTGGTGGTGAGGGAGGCCTTCTGTTGAGTGCAGTTCTCCTTTTAACTTGAATTCTAATAGGACAATGACGAGAGACATATGTTCTGGGCAAATCAGGTCTGCTCATTTATCTCCTCCAGAGGAAGCTGGCTTGCTTCTTATGGTAATAGAAAGGAACTGCAGAAGGAAAGAACTGGCTTTTGATCGACTATGACTTGAGCAGTGACAGGGCAGAGCAGGAGGCTGGCTGAGCGACTGGTGAGGTCACTGGCCAAAGGCATCCTTGGAGGCCAGAAGGGTCAGGCAGGTACTGCAGGTCAAGTAGGAGAGGAGTCAAAGTGCCTGAGCCTCCGTTCACCCCAACACCAGCCTCGTTCTGCCGGAGGAAACTTATGTCAGCGACCAGCCCCTGCCAGCCTGCCTACTCCCTCCTTTTAGCCCTGCCACATTCAGAATCACACCAGATCCACCACTGTGATTCAACCTGGTAGGACACTTCACTGAGTTTTAGAGAGATCTCCAATTTGGAATTTAAAAAGAAAAAACAAAGGGAGGGGAACAGAGGAAACAAGAGTGGCAAAATGGTGAAAATACTGAATCTGGTGATGAGTATATGGGGGTTCTTTATTCTACTTTGGGGTAGATTTTCAATTTCCAAATAAAAAGTTTAATTTTTAATTACAATTATGATATTGCCATAAATTAAAGGTGACTTTTCAGTTTTAACTCAGTAACTTCTACACATATGCCCAAAAAAAGAGAGGAAGACCAAGTTTTCTACCGTCTAGCCAGCCAAGAAAACAAAACAACTTTTTTTCACATTATTGATAACTTTAAAGGACAAAATAAGCGTATGATGTCACAAAGGAACTAGGAAAGTATGAGAAAATATGTCTGGAAAGAATAAAATGCTCTGGAATATTCAGTTAGATATGGCACATGGTAATTCTAATAAAGCATACTGAGTTTTTTTTAAAAGTACATCCTGTTTTTGATTTTAAAGAGCATAGGGTACTTTTCCTCATCTGGCCACTTGCTCATGAAAAGACACACAGTGTCCTGTTCTGTCTGGACTCATAAGCCACAAGAGTTTGATGACCTTCCGGGTCAGCCAATTCAAGCAGGCAGCATCCTCACCAAAGGCCACCCAGCTGCCACCAGTCCCTTCTGAAGATGGGAACGGAGTACTTTCCCAGGCAGGCCACTCCTTTCTCATCCAGCCATGCTTCTGGCATGTTCTCCCTTAGGCTGAGCTGAATAAAGTGTTCCTAAAGCATTCACTATCTCTTGGGAGAATCTGCACAGATGAGAGGTTGCTAAAAATTCATCATGATTTAAACAGCAGAAAACACAAAAATAAAAATTTCTTTTTTAAAATTCATCATGGTAAGAACTGCAGTCTCCATGATGAACCACGCTACCAAAAATGGAAGAACTGGTCCATGAAACCAAATTCTCCATTTAATTTCAGGCAAAGTCATAACTAGATCTGGTTGCTTGCTTGGAGACCGAATTGGCCTGGCATTCCTTTGGTCAAACAAATAGAAAAACCAGCAGGCCAGGTGCAGTGGCTCATGCCTATAATCCCAGCACCTTGGGAGGCAGAGGCGGGTGGACCACCTGAGATCAGGAGTTCAACACCAGCATGGCCAAATGGCAAAACCCCGTCTATACTAAAAATATGTAAATTAGCTGGGTGTGGTTGTGCACGGCCTATAATCCCAGCTACATGGGAGGCTAAGGCAGGAGAATCGCTTGAAATCAGGAGGCAGAGGTGCAGTGAGATGAGATCGTGCCATGGCACTCCAGCCTGGTTGACAGAGCGAGACCTATCTCGAAAGAAAGAAAAAGAAAAAGAAAAAGAAAAAGAAAAAGAAAGAAGGAAGGAAGGAAGGAAGGAAGGAAGGAAGGAAGGAAGGAAGGAAGGAAGGAAGGAAAAGGAAAAGGAAAAGAAGGAAGGAAGGAAGGAAGGAAGGAAGGAAGGAAGGAAGGAAGAAAGAAAGAAAGAAAGAAAGAAAGAAAGAAAGAAAGAAAGAAAGAAAGAAAGAAAGAAAAAGAAAGACAGACTAGCAGGACTGACACTAGGGAAACCTTTTCTTCCTATCCGCAAGTCCCCACTCTTGCCTATAGACAGGGGAGAAAAACTAACCACTCTGTGAGGCTTAGGAGTTACTGAGGAATAAATCTCATAATGCGATCCTCTCCTGGCTCCTGGCTTCAGCTCTGAACCTGTGAGAACCTAGACAAGTGAACAGTGATTAACCAGCTTTCTCTGTTTTCAGAAGAATAACATGTACAGCCATTTGAGGATTTTAATCAGCAAAATGGGAACTCAGACTGGGCACAGTCCTAAATAAACTGGAGATTCTCTTTACCTGGTACCCTAAAAAATGAATAAGGAGAAATATTCATCAGTGAATGTGATTAGTTTTGCGGGAGTTCAAAGTTTTCAAGTGACTTTCTGTCACTTCAAAAAGTGGTGCTTTTCAGCAGGGGTGTGCAATCAAATGTAATATAAAACTAGAGATTAAAAGTAACAGATGTGTCCAGGCAGGTGGCTCATGTCTGTAATCCCAGCACTTTGGGAGGCTGAGGTGGGTGGATCACCTGAGGTCCACAGTTCAAGACCAGCCTGGCCAACATGGTGAAACCCTGTCTCTACTAAAAATACAAAAATTAGCTGGGTGTGGTGGTGGGCACCTATAATCCTAGCTACTTGGGAGGCTGAGGCAGGAGAATCGCTTGAACCCAGGAGGTGGAGGCTGCAGTGAGTCAAGATCACACCATTGTACTCCAGCCTGGGCAACAGAGCAAGGGCTCTGTCTCAAAGAAAAAAAAAAAAAAAGTAAAATATGTTTAATCCATGCAATCATTCAGACCTCTGCTCTAAAATCACAATAGAACTTACAGAGAAAGGATAAAGAATTTTCTTCGTTAGCATGGTAATCGGGGAGACTGACAGTAGCAAGATTAGCTGTCACTGGGATTTGCCACAGCCACAGGAAGGTGAGAGCCAGTGTGAGGCTTTTGCCTATGACACAATAATGACTCCATTTCCTCTTCCATGTAAGCCAGGCTTAGAGCCCACTCGGTCAAGCCACAGTGAACAGGGCCAAGATGTTCTAGGCCATGGTCCTCTTCCTGGACCAAGATCCAGGACTGTCCACTTCCCCAAGGCTGCTGGTCTCCAGTGAGGAAGAGTGGAGCGCAGCAGTACAGCACAGCAGGGGGATTGGTTCCAGGGCCTCCTGCAGACACCAAAATCTGTACATACTCAAATTCCTGATATAAAAGGGCATAGTATATGCATGTAACCTACACACATCCTATCAATATACTATAAATCACCTCTAAATTATTTATAATACCTAATACAAAGCAAATGCTATGTAAATAGTTGTCATACTGTATTGTTTAGGAGATAATGACAAAGAAAAAACATGTTTAGTAAGGATGCAATTTTTTTTCAAATGTTTTTGATCTGCAATTGGTTGAATCCACATATGCAAAACCCTCAGATATACAGGGCCAACTGTACAGGCAAAGATCCATACCTCACACGCACACAGCAAGATTAGCTTCTTAGACACAGAACAGACTGCAGACTTAGAATCATTATAAATAAGAAAATTCAGGCCCTGCAGTAATCACTGCTTTTAAAGACAACTAACCAGCTAGGATCACATTATTTAAATAAGTAATATACTGATATTCTCAACAAATATACAACACAACAGTGGAGAGTGCCAAGGCAACCTCGATACTTGTTCGCCTTCGACTCAGTTCCCACCTCCCAATGGATAACCAGATTTTTTGCTTCTTCTGAGTCCTTTGAAATAGTGATTATGTATGTACAGCAAATATGAATACATATTACTTGTGCTCCTTATTATACATAGATATATAATGTAATAACTACACAGGCATGTATAATTTACTATCTTTACCATTTTTTATTTTTATTTTTTGACATGGAGTCTTGCTCTGTTGCCCAGGCTGGAGTGCAATGGTGAGATCTCAGCTCTCTACACCCTCTGCCTCCTGGGTTCAATCAATTCTCCTGTCTCAGCATCTCAAGTAGCTAGTAGTTGGGATTGCAGGTGTATGTCATTATGCCTTGCTAGTTTTTGTATTTCTAGTAGAGATGGGGCTTTACCATGTTGGCCAGGCTCATCTCAAACTCCTGACCTCAAGTGATCTGCTCACCTTGGCCTCCCAAAGTGCTGGGATTAGAGGGGTGAACCACTGTGCCTGGCCCATCTTTACCGTTTTTAAGTATACAGTTCAGTGGTAATAAATACATTTGGCAGGGAGAGGTGGCTCATACCTGTAATCCCAGTCCTTTGGGAGGCCAAGGTGGGTGGAACACAAGGTCAGGGGTTTGAGACTAGCCTGGCTAACATGGTGAAACCCCGTCTCTACTAAAAATACAAAAAATTAGCCAGGCGTGGTGGCAGGTGCCTGTATCCCAGCTACTTGGGAGGCTGAGGTGGGAGAATCGCTTGAAACTGGGAGGCAGAGGCTGCAGTGAGTCGAGATCGTACCATTGCACTCTATCTAGCCTGGGCAACAATGCAAGACTCAGTCTCAAAAATAATAAAATTTTAAAAAACATAGATATAATAAAATTAAATAAACACATACATTTATATCCCTTTTTCTCCTCCATTCCACCTTTCCCTTTCCTGGCCTCTGGTAGTCACCAATCTAACTGTGTGTCATTGTGAGATCACCTTTCTTAGCTCCCACATATGAGTGAGAACATGCAATATTTGCCTTTCTGTTCCTGGCTTATTTCACTTAACATAAATGGCCTCCAGCTCCATCCGTGTTGCTGTAAATGAAAGGATTTTATTCTTTTTTACAGCTGGATGACATTTAATTGTGTATACATGACCCATTTTCTTTATCCATTCATCTGTTGATGGGCACTCAGGTTGATTCCATATTTTGGCTGTTGTAAATACTATAGTGCTATAATACACATGGGAGTGTGGATATCTCCTCCCTTTTTACACAAATGGTAGCATGCTAATACAGTATCTGTACCTTACTTTTCAAACTTAATCTTCAACTAAATTTCTAAACCTGATTCCAATTTCTTAGAGGCTCCTTCTCAAAAGTGCCAAGCAAAAATATTAGAAAACTCAACAAAATAAAAAGTCAAAATTGGCAGGAATATCCCAACATTATAACTGATTTACTCTCTTCCAAACCAATTTGGCCAATTTCTCCAACCCCTTATATCCTTCGCAGTATTACCTGGTCCTCAAAGAACAGGATCACAAACTGCTTCCTCCTCTCCTCTATTAGCTCTTTCCATGTGCATTTAAACACGGTCCTGGTAGCTCACGCCTGTAATCCTAGCACTTAATGATAATGGGGAGGCTGAAAGTGGTGAGATTAACTGTCACTGGGATGTGCCACACCCGGGAAGAGAAGAGCCAGTGTGAGCCACTGCACTGCAGCCTGAGCAGGAGGGCAATACTCTATCTCAAAAAACAAAACAAAACAAAACACATGGCCCAGCCTCTCCCACTGAAAGCTGGGGAGGGAGGAGATACACAAGTTGCTAACTTGATGCATCATCCTATTCCTCCTCCTTGCCTGAGTCTCTCCTCTTCACAGCCAAGCTGTGTGATGAAGGAGGTGCCTCGATCCACTTCCTCACCTCCCACACAGACCTCAGCCCCCACCCCTTTGCTCTACTGAAATTTCCCAAGATAACCACAGACTTTCCTTACTACTAAATCCAAATGGGTATTTTCAGCTCCTGACCTCTTGGAAGCACTGGAAATTACTGAGAGTTTGCTCTACTGAAAACATTCTTCTCCTGACTCCTGGGGCTCTGTGCGCTCCCATTTTTCTCCTACCTCTCTGAGTGTTTCTTTCCAGTCATCTTTGCACACTCCTGAACTTCCTGACCAACCCTTATGGGGCTCCTCAGGGCTCTGTCATATAACTCCATCTCTCTAGCCTGGATCTCTCTCCAGAGCTTTGAACTTGTACATTCAACAGCCCACTGGACCATGCTTTTCTAGGACTACCTGCAGGCACTTTAAACTCAACATATTTAGAAGTGAATTTGCCATCTTCCTCCTAAGCCACACCCTATAGCTCATGTGTTTCAAATTGCTGAGAATGGCGCCACTGAACGGCCCAACCCAGCAAGTTTGGGGTCATCCTTGGGTGCCTCCTCCCTTACCCTGATCATCTCAGCCATTTGCAAGTCTGCTCATTTTGACTTTCTATTTATTTATTGTATCATTTATTTATTTTAGAGATAGAGTCTCACTGTGTTGCCCAGGCTGGCCTCAAATTCCTGTGCTCAAGTGGTCCTCCCACCTCAGCCTCCTGCGTAGCTGGGACTTCAGGTGCAGACCAATGAACCTGGCCACTGTGACTTTGGAAACACCTCTAGAACCCAACACTACCTCAACTCCTCATCTATCCACTCTCCCCGGATGACTTCAACAATCTTGTAATTGGTCTTTTGGTCTCTAATCTTGTTTCCTCCAACCTAGTTCCACCCTGCAGGCTGAATAATCTTCCTAAAACACAAATCTGATCATATCACTCAGCTGCATAAAACCCATTAATGAAAGGATTTTTTAAAAAGACCCTAACAAGCCAATTTTAAAGTTCATTTGGTTGGCAAGTAACACTGGTGTTAAATAAATAAATAAAAAAATTTCGGCTGGAAAAATAAACATACAAGAATAGCCTAGAAAAATCACTAAAAAGCCGCATGAAAGTGAATTAATCTTACCAGCTTTCTAAAATATAATATAGAGATATAATAATTAATTAAAACAGTGTGATTCTGGTGTATGAATGGACACAGATTAATAAAAGAGAACAGAAAGTCTCAAAATACAATCAAACATATGAGAATTCAGTATATGATA